AGTGCACGTTGAAATACATAAACTAAACAAGGCCACCTAACCTGGAACGACGTTTGAATTTTTGCCGTTTAAATCTAGATATCAAGCAACTTCCATTTTATTTACAATTTATACGTCCTACTAAAACTGATACATGAGTACGATACAGAAGCACAGTACAGAAGTCCAAGTGTTGTTGCTGGTAGTCGTTGGCAGTCGTTGGATATTTTTTAATCCATCTTTTCCCGAGGCCCTCCTCATTCCACAGCACATATGCTCCATACATGACTTCCCTGTCTGCGCACATGCCGGCACATCTGCTACTTACTCTCTTCTTCTTATACTTTCTCCATCTTCTCCATTTTCTTCATCCGCTATCTTCATCTTTCTTTCCTCCTTATCATCTTCCTTTCCATCTTTCTATACAATTTTTCATTATTTAAGAAAACGGCAGCAATAACGATGTACCAAAGTTCAAAAATCATTTAGCTCCAATGAAAATATTTATGAACAAATAAATAACTGATTAACAGTGCATTATATCATAAATAATTTTAAAACTTTCATAACAATTTCAATGTCATTCAAAAACATTTAAACTGTCACGCTTACTTTATTCTAAAATATTTTTCAATTTTTAAAAAATAAAACTTAAATAAAAAAACTCATTAAACATGGTTGCCGTAAAAGAATTAAAAATAAACAAGACAAATAGCATCAACAAAAATACAAGAAAAACGAGACTATGAAGTTATTTCGCACCAATCCGTCTTCTTGTTATCACAGTCTTGCAGTAATTTTGAGCAAAAATTTGAATCAGCAGTGCAAAACAAAAAACCCTGGCAGGCGGGCACTACAGTTCAAATAAAACTAATAAAACAAAACACTGGTGACAACATTTTTTGGTTATTTTTAAAACACAACGAGTTTGCATAGAGACTCAATACAGATGAAAGCGTTGTTTAAAAAATAAAAACAATGCATCATAAATTTAATTTTAAAAGCTTGCTATTGAATCTAAAAAGCAAATGAACAAATATTAACATTTTTTGAAAAAAATGAAGAGTCCAAACAACAACTTTAACATGCAGTGGAAACAAATTGAAACAAAATGAACTTGCTTCACTAGCAGCATACTTTACAAGTTTACACTCATTGCAAGTTACAAAACATTTAGAGCTCTTTCTTTCAAACCAAATGTCATTGCAATGATAACGGACATTGTATTACTAAGGCCAAAGTTAACATTGAAAATTTCACCATTGAACACATAAAAATGAGTAACCTTCCAGACGAAGCATCAACAACCCAGCATCACTATACTTCATTTCAATTTAACATAGCAATAGTATCTATACTCTTTAAATACTAACAAAAAATAAATGAAAATTTAAACGAAAACAAACAAAAACGTTAAAATTAACACCACTAACATTACGAATGAAACATGTCTGCATGTCTGACTAAATTGAAAATTAGAACACAAAACAGCAACACAACAACAAAAACACAAAAACATCAACGTTGATGTTAAAAGAACACTGAAATGACATTAGAATGACATTAAAATGACATAAAAACGCAACAATAAAAACAGCAACAACGACAAAACAGCAACAACGACAACACGAGGTAACGTATTCAGGCAGAGTGACATTTAATTAACGGAATAGAAATGACGAAGTGATCTGTCTGAGGACATGACGTTGAAAAAGAAAATCTATCGCCTTCAATCGCTGATTGATACGTTCTTACGTCTGCCACCCTGCCCTACTTGCCTGCCTGCCTGCTGTCCAACGTTCGTAGTTCACATCAAATCTATGCTTCCTTCTTTTTCTCTCTATTTCTTGGTTCTGGTTTTCACATGTTTATTGAAAGTGGTCAGCAGTTTTTTCGTTGTTTTATTGCTTAGTATTTGTCGTTTGTTTGGTTTACTGGCTGATAAATTAATTTGTAACCTTTGAATTTTTTTGATTTTCATTCTTTTTTTTATCTTATTGACTTAAAATAAAGTTTCACTTTTACATTTTCATGCCGTGTTTGCACTTATAGAATTTAATTTTGAAATATAAATTGAATGCGCTCAGAAGTTTTTGACTGGAATTGATTGCTTTTTAAAAATGAAAATCGATCAAATTAATTTTTTGATGCTCTGACAATTTCTTGACGTACGAAATTTTTTTCTGCGAACGTAGCTGGTTTTTAAAAAAATAAACCATTAAATTCAAGTTAATATTAAATTTGAATAATTTTGAATTCCATATATTATTGAACCCAAAATGTTTTACATGTGTTACAGAAAATATTACCTCTATAGTTTTGAATTATTCATTGATTAACTTTTTAGTAACATGGCCGTCTAATTAATTCAAGTTTATATCGAGATAGGATATTAACCACAACTAATTCAATTTGCCATTTAATTAATTGAATAAGTGCGAAATTAAGGGACATGCAATTAATCAATGGAGTGCTTATGATTAATTGATCATTTGATAAATCATCTGATAATTATTAATTTTTATATTTCTTGACCAATCTGACGTAATGTTTGATGGATGACGTTGCCATGTAATATTTCATCATCGCACGCACTCCATCCAATGGCTCATTTCTTTTTTCATTTTATACCAAATTCGTCCGCATGTTTCTACCGGCTCATGTGGTTGGGCCGATGTGTGTGTGTGTGTGTGTGGTGTGGTATGTGTGTGTGTGTGTGTGTGGTGAGTGTGTGTGTGTGTGTGTGTGTGTGTGTGTGTGTGTGTGTGTGTGTGTGTGTGTGTGTGTGTAGGCGCTGCATACTCATGTATGTTCTGGACGAAACTTGCCTCTTGTACAACATAAAATTATAAAATTATATTGGCCCAGCTCTTCCCACAGGAGCGAGCAAATATAAAAATGAATGTAAACGCTGTTTAAATTTTTCATCCGATTTTTCATTTATATTTTACGCGATGTGACTTCAATTTGTTTCAGGAAATACCCAAATACCCATCCAAGTATTCTCCCTCCAGGGAGTTTTCCATTTTTATAAACAAACGAGGTGCATATTGTTCGAGTTTCTTTTTTCTTTCCATTGAAGATGTGTGATCGTTGTGAATCTTTGTAAGTAAGAAGCATGTTTGATACGCATGCGTGCTAGTTTCAGATGCGCGTGTCGTTCAAACATGTGCGAATTTTGAGGTGTTTTTATATCGTGCACTATACATACCTAATTGAGGTAATTGTATTTCTTCTTCACATACATATATAATGTTTCTACACATATATCCACCATCCTATTTTGCCAATGTACGTATTATTGTATTGACGTGTTTGTCATTCTCTTCTCTACTTGTCATTTATTTGCGAGTGTTTGCGTGTGTTGTGCACGCACTCATGCATACTTGCAAGTGTTATGTGACCTTTGTTGCAACAGCTATGTGACCTTTGTTGCAAGGGTCATGTGACCTTTGTTCTTTTCATGGTATTCAATGTTTTTTATATATTGATTAAAATTATTACTTATATTTTATATTATGTATATGACTCTTTAATATGGAGATTCGTACAATAACCTGGTTTAACGCAAACTTACTTCTACGTCATTATTGATTTGAGTAATAAAAAAATCTTTGTGAGAGAATTTTTTCATCGATCAATCATATCGGATGCAACGTGGTTACGTGATTGTGGTGGTGGTAGTGGTGGTGGTGGTGGTAGTGGTGGAGGGGTGCTGGTTGGATGTTGTTGCTCAGTTGTGGTGGTGGTTGCATGTTGTTCAAGTATTTTAAAACTCCGCGTTAATGGCTGGATGATATAAAAAGATCAAAGTAGGAACAGTTTGCATAGAACAAAGCAGCTATTATTGTAGTAACTAATCACTACCATCCGTGCCTTATTATACTAAACAGAAATCATACTTGTGGCATTACTCAAAAATATGAACTTGGGTGAACAAAACGTACTTAAGTCTGAGTAACTTTTTGTACAATTCTCTAGTTAATATTTCTCAGATGTAAGAACAACAAACACACGGCACATGTAAATTCGCGAGAATTGACGCACAAACGCTAGACTATGCATTCCACTGCTTAGCTAAAAAGTTTTCTTAATATTTCTAGCAAAATGCAAAAATGATTTTATAACTCTAATATTGTTATAAATGAAAAGTTAAAGTAGATTGAAAAATCCCGTTGTCAAAAAAAATGGAAAAAAACCTACTATAGGAGCAACTTAAAGATGTAAAAATACAGGCAAACTAACATTTTGCTAATAAAGACTTCTATGCAGCACTACTAGAAAAAACTTGAATTATGACAACACTCACATGAAACTACAAAAAGACCACTACTACTATAAAAACAGAATTGCTATCAGCACTAATAACACAACAAAAACAACGACAAAAACAACAGCAGCAACAACACTTCAATTAATCAATAGACCATATAAACGGTTTTTCATGAATTATCTGCGGTTTGTCTGAGCGGATACAATTATTTATGATTGAGTGATTGTTATCATCATCGCCGTCATCATCACCACCATTATCATTATCGTCGCAATCATCATCCACGTTGTCATCATTGGCACGTTATTGTTTCTCTTATCATCATCTCCATTGCACCGTTCAAAATGTTCGTTCATCATTTCATCACTATTTATTTGAGAATAATCAACATCAATGCATTCAACACATTTACGAACATTACAACATTACAAACGACATTCTATTATTAATATTATTCATTAACTTAAAACAATATTTTTTTTACATTTTATCAAGAATTGACGTTTTTCTTATTAAGCGACAAACAATCACCTCTTACTCATGATATCATCTGGGTTTTTTTCATCTCCAATAACAAGCTCTCAGCCAGATGACGAAGTTAACCTGGCTCGCACGCAAACACAGATTAAGTGTTTCATGTTATGTTTTGCTTAGATGAGAAAACGTTTTTATTTTTTAAAAATAACAATTAAAAAATTATGAAGCTAACGCCGTATTGAATGTGTTGGAAAATAAAATTGACAAATAGGACGCAGAAAACGCCATCAGCAAAATGAACGGACAGAAAGTTGGAAGCAGACCCATAAGGACCAACTGGGCGGTCCGCAAGCCTGCATCCGCTGCTCAAAAAGAAGGTCAGTCAGTGTGATGTTTTCATTTGTATCATGTATCTATCTTGTATCTATCTATCATGCGTTATGTATCACGTGTGTCTTGTTCTATGTATCATATGTAATGTGTTATGTGTAATGTATTGTATATCCTGTAAAAATGTATTTCACTTTTTTCTAACATTCCCATGCATTTTTTGTTTCATCGTTCAAAATTCTAAGTTGGTTGTAACGGCAATTCATCATCGCATGTGATATTGTTATGCAACTGTTTCAACGACAGTAATGTAATTTTTAAAGGAGAAATGTTTTCAAAAGATTTTTTAAGTTTACTCTGAAAAGAAGCTGAAATAATTGCTCCACCACGGAATGATGAATAATAAAAATTGATGAATGGCATGATGAGTTATGAAAAATTTTGAAAGTTTTGTATGAATTTAATTATTCATAATAAATTCAGCCTCAAGTTTTGTGTACAGTCCGTAGCAACCGTGTACGTGAGTGTACACATCGGCAACGTGCAGTGTTGTACGTCATGGTGTTGGACACCAGTGTTGTGCGCGAGTCATGTGACCAAAATATGATCTTTGTTCATTTCGTCATCATCGTTCTCGCCATCTTGATCTCGTGAATTTGCTTCATTCAGACATTTCGTCATTTTTTATTCATCATTCGATCATGTTCGGGAAAGCGTGCAAAGTATCGTGAAACTGACTTTTGAACGCGTCTACCAATACGCACTGTTGTATATTTTTATCATATGCCTTGTATCAGTACTGTGCGCCTGTTTTATAAATGTAAAAATAATCTTTGAAAATAATTGTGCGTGTGTCAAACAAACGTTTCAAAGACAGATTTATTTCATTAGCTTAAGCCCGTTGGATGATTGGCAGTGGGGATTTAAATCTTCGCATGGGTTATCATTTTCTTGTCTGAATGCCTGCCTGCATCTCTCTTGTCTATCTTGTGTCTCTCTCCGTCTGCTTCTTGTCTTTTTCTTTTTCCTTTTTCCTTTTTTCTTTCTTTTTTTTCCTTTTTTCTTTATTTCTTTCTTCCTTCCCAGCCGTCCGTCTCTCTCTTCATCATGCATACAAGCAGGTTTCAAACACGTGCAACCAAAGAGATCTTGATACTCTCAAATTGAAAACTCCGATGCGTTCATGCAAATATATCCGTGCTATTTGAATATATTTTTTTATTTGAACAAAATTAAGATTAGTTTGAAAAATAACTTCAATTTTCACGCATCAGGTTATTTTTGTTTTTAAATTAAAAATGCCATTCACAATTTTGTATTTGAAGCTGCAATACAATAACTAAAAAAACGAAAGGGGAACCAGAAAATTCCATACAACTTGAAAATTGACAGGAGAAAAATTCACTCAAAACGAAAAAAAATAAGAACAAACAGAAAAAAAGCTAACGAATAGAAAAAAAACCTAGCCTGAAAATAGCAAAACATGGAAAAAAGTTTGTAAAGAATTGACAAACATGAGAAAAAATGAGCAAATATGTAAAAAAAGTAGAAAACGAACGAAAAAAAAAGTACAACCTTCCAATTATTTTTCTTTTTCTTTTTTATTCATCACTTCACGCCTTTCAGAGCATTTCAATATTTCTGCATCTGTCCTTCGATTTTCAGATTTGTGCACTGAACTGACAGGCTCCTTACATAATAATAAGAATAATAATAACGAAGATGATGATGATGATGATGATGGCTGAAATTTTGCGTCATTATTAATGCTATTATTATTTAATATTTAAGTATTCATTCGTATAATCGTACGTATTCATCTATCACAATTTATATTTAAGAAACAAGCTGAAATATATATTCATATATTTATAGATATAATTATTTATCTTTTTGGCATTGTTGTTGTTGTTGTTGTCAATTATTGTTTGAGTGGTGAGAGCAATTGATTGATCTAAAGGGAAACAATAACAATTATGTAACAATTCTTTAAAGCTGATTTTAGTTATTACGTATTCAAATCAATATCCATGTACTGAAACGCTATATAGTTTCATGAATATATATATATATATATATATATATGATTATGGTGGTGATGGCAATAGTAATGATCATGATGGTGATGATGATAAAAATTTTTATTACAATCTTAGTTAGATAGTTTTAAATTTTTGTGATAATGTTAATAGAATTTTGATTTGGATTGATGTTATCATCATCATCATCGTCGTCGTCGTCATAATCACCAAATTTGTTGTCGTCATCTGCGCCGTCATTATTATCACCATCATCATTATTGTTATTGTTATTATTATCATTATTATCATCATCATCATTTTCAACATCCAAATTAATATTTATTTTCATTTTTCACATGTGCGCGGGCAGTTGCAACAAACAAAAAAAAATGTATTTTCAGATTATTATTTTCCTATTTTTATATTCACATTTTTATTTGAAACTTTGTTTTGACTGTAAAATGTATTTTTGAGTGTGGTTCATTGACTGACTGGCCTAATGGATGTGCCTCGTAAAATGGGTTATTGAATTCCCAATGCTAACAATAAAGAGCTGACATTGTGCTATAGTTTTTTCTCAATTTGTAATACATCATTTTGCATGTATAAATGTACGGTTGTATATGTATGCATATATTTATTTATATATTTGTTTAAATATCAATCAACTAACTATTTAATTATTCATCCAGTCAACCAATCATTCAGTCAGTTGCACATTTAATTTTACAGGTCAGATCAAAAATTATAGCCATTCATTCAATCAACTAATCAGCTACATTGTCAATCAATCAATCACATATATCACCAATCAATCAACCAATCAATCAATCAACCAATCAATCAGACACATTTTTTATATTTTTGTTTCTGAACCAGGCAATCAACAATTCAATCATCAATATATAATCAACAACTTCCGAGTAAAAATCATTTGTTATTAATTAAACCAGCAATCGATCCATCAACATTCTAATGAACATTATGAATAAAATATTCAAACAATAAAATACGAATAGTTCTTCCAATCATTTAACCAGTCATTCAATCATGCAACCAACCAATCATCTGATCACGCATATGTCAACCAACCAATCTGTCAATCACACAGCTAACAAATCAATCACACACTCCAACCAATTCCTTTCTTTCCAGCAAATACGAAGCCACTGACGTACGATGAGGTCTTCTGTCAGACGAGTTCAACAAACTGCACAGTCTACTGCGGTGGGATCACTGCAGGATTATCTGGTTAGTCTTTCGTTACGATACGATACAATGCCGATACTAATACGATTCAATATAATTAAAATCGATACCGATACAAACACACCGATACATACAGTAAAATACCGATACAATTCAATAGGATAGGGAATTGATTTTTTATAATCCGGTGCACTCCCATACATTACGATACAATGCCGATACAATTTTTCACCATGCCTACCAGTCTGATTCAATACAGTCTGATTTGATACCGCGAATAACGATGAAATGACGATACCATTTACTACAATAACAAATCTATTTAATACAATCCGGTCCGATACCGTAAAATACAGAATAATACAATTTTCAATTCTCAATTTTCTAAATTATAAACATTCTTATTGATTTTTAAATACGAATTGATTTCATAGTTACTATTAATACAACTAATATACCGATATTGTATTTATAATAAATGTTACTATGATTTGGAACACAGTTTCACTTAACGTTTTACGATATAGGTACTCGCATGTTTTAGTATTTCTAACTAATATGATTTATAAATAGATGATGGAATGAGTAAAAAAGAGGTGTGCTTCGAAGAAAGCAGACTGTGTTTTTTATTGTGATGACATAAATGTTTTTGTTGTTAATGATGATGATGATGATGATGATGATGATGATGATGATGATGATGATGATGATGATGATGATGATGATGATAATGATGGATGATGACCATTTTTGGAACTGGCATCAGAATGATGACGAAGATGACAGAATGATGATGATGGTGTGAATAGAGACTAGAATATTTTATGCTAAATTCAACAAAAGGTTTCCACAAGTCAGTTCAACGCCCCTCACATCAAACAGCCAACCAAACAACAAAACTATCAAAGCTTCAACACTATAATAGGCATGATCATAATCGACTACATCATTATAAACACATCCACATCAGCAGTTAATATCATCATCATTATTATTTACATAACCATAATGAGGGATTAAATTTTACGATGTCTATGCTATCAGTTTGTTGCAATTCTATATTCTATTTATATTCACATCTATAAAAAAAAAAACTTTCATTTTGACACTAAAACTGTTATAAAAAATGATATCATCATTTTCTTATCAGCATCATCTAGTTTCTTGTTTTATATTTTTATCAGTATTAACATTCAACACACACACACAACACACACACACTCAACACATACACACACACATACTCACACGCACGCACACACACACACACACACACACACACGTTAAAAATAAGCAGCGACCCCTCTGAACGCAGCCTTGATGTAAAAAAATTTCACTGACAAACAATTTTTTTTAAATTTTGAAATATTTTTTTAAAACAAATTGAAGTCATGCTGCGTGAAATACTAATGAAAAATCACTTTGAAAAATGGTAAATACGCTTTCATTCATTTCCTATAGTTGCTTACAAGCATTCATTCACTCACTTTCTCATTCAGCGGTTTCTTCATTTTTTTATTACTTTAACTCAACGTACCATCCGCATGGTCATGCATTCACTCGATTACTCACTCATTTTTGTCTATTTATTCATTCATTCATTCATACATTAATTCATTTATTCATTCATTCATTCATTCATTCATTCATTCATTCATTCATTCATTCATTCATTCGTTCGTTCATTCATTCATTCATTCATTCATTCATTCATTCATACCGCTCAACTATCAATACGCCAACATGTTCTTTTGAACTGTAACTAAATAAAAAAACCTAACAGTGCATTCCCTGTCTTGAATTGCCATCCTCTTATTCATTATTTTCAAAATTCATATTACTTTTTTTTTATTAATGTTAATATTATTATTATTATTTATTATTATTATTATTCTATTTTTGTTGTTATTGCTTTTATTATTATTACACGTCCATTCTTTCCGAATCCATTTATTTCATTAATTTTATTAAGCTTTTATGTGTACGTGTTTGTGTGTGTTTGTGTGTGTGTGTGAATGTGTTTGTGTGTGTGTCCATTTTGTTTCATTGTACTTGGATCCTTAATAAAGACTGTCCTTGCTATATTTTTATTTATACTGCCAACGGTGCAGTTCATTATGTTGAATTAATAACACGGCATACTTTTGTGATTGAAGTAATAAAAATCCACACAACAATAACGGCTGCAACATTAGTCGAAACTGGATATGTCACTACTGACTAACAACAGCACGACATCAACAATGACATTAAAAATTACATCGACGACATCAACAACGACATTAAAAATCACACTAACGCCAACAGCAAGCACGATAAGAATGGCAATAATGATAATGACAATAATGGCTGGAACGATAGAGAAACTGTAAGAATAGAAAATCATAAAATGATCAACTCTTTCTGCTAATGCAAGGTAACTGCATTCTATTCAACCGTTGTATCCACATCCACACGTACACACCTTTACATACAACACACACACGCACACATGTCAAACATATACAAGCATATACAGAAAGTTTCATTAAATTTTCATGATGAACTTGGATAATAATTCTATTTTCAACAAATTTAACAATTTCCAGAAAGTTCTAGTGAGGAAAATTGAAAAGACAAACTTTATAAAACTGTATAAAATATTTAAATGTACACACGTGTGTACGTACATATTAACATGTGTAAGTGCAAATATTTTATCAAAACTATACATTGACATGTAAATTGTGGCACATGCACTTGTGTGCAGCAGAGCGCCGTACAAAACATCAGAGACGGACAAATAGAGGTAGAGACAGAAAAATCAATGAATAAATGATGTCGCTTGCTTGGTTAAATATACAGCGTTGAAGTATCCAGCGTTGGACACACGTAAATATCTTCTTCTCAAAAAATAACTGTTTGCTTCTGTTTGCTCTTTCATTTCATTTTTTTTTGTGTTTGCCGGCTGATCATTATGTCTTTCTTGCGATCGTTTATAGTGGCAGTAACTGTTCCTTTATGTGCTTGCTTGCACTTTCTTCTGAATTCGCTCGTCACTCTTTTTTGTTTTACGTTTTGTTTACTTATTCTTTCGTCGCAAATTTTTTTTTATTTTTTAAAAGAGTTCAACATTTTCATTTTTCTTTGTGTCTTTCACAGTTTTAATGAAATTTCAATAGTTAAAAGATTAAAACGAGCGTTAGACAAAAATGACAAAAACTTCCGAATAATGAAATTTTTTTGAATCATTTTTTGTGATAAGCCCAACGTCTTTGTTAAAAATTTCACAAAATTAGCATTTAAATTATTAAGTTAAGTTGAAATTACATTGTTCAGCAACACAATTGAAGATGTTGCAAGTACTGAATAGCAATTTAACTAATGAGAATACTTGCACTGTGCAATGTTTATTTAAATGTAATGTTCATTCGGGTCTGATGACATGATGCTTCTGATAAAAAGTCCCATCTATGAACACTGAATAAACCATTGCATTGTTGTGTAAACGAATGATATGACGTAATAGCAGTACATTTCATTCATTGGAATTTATCTGCACAGTAACTTCACAATGAAAAACAAAGTTAACACAATAGCAGCACGAACAAATTTCATGAAACTTTTTCTTGAATTTCAAAAATAAAAATCAGTAACAACTAAAAATCAAAACGGACAACAATATAATAACTAAAGCATGAATTTTTTTGCTTTTCATCAAGCGACTTCGACAATCGTACAGCTTTTTAGCAAATGTTCGTTTCATACTTGCTTTGTTACAAGTTCAGCATTTTGTACTTTCACAGCACACAACCTGCTTGTACATTCATGTTCTACATATATGCGCAAGCACCGTATCGTATGCACGAGAGAAGGTTTGATTGTATTCGAGTTTTTCTGAGACGAATTCGAAGCAGGTGACCGCGCAATAAAACGAAGCTCGACAGGCACTCTTGCTGCGTGACTAATTCTATAAACAAAAAAAAACATTTATAACAAAACCAAGAAATTGTGAGAACATTTAAAAATGCGGTCATGTCATGAACATTGATGAGATGCACCACAGAAATGAGAAAAAGCTTACATGAATGACAACATCATAATAACAACAATAAGAACAACGACGACCAGCAATTTACATAAAAGAATAGCAACAAGACAACTAAAAATGACATCAATGACAAAAAATTAACCCAGCAACTTATGCGAACGAAACTACAAAAACACAAACTTCAACAAGACTTTAAACAGATAACGTCAGCAAGCAACATTACCATAAACAACAAAAGTAACTAATATTAACATCAACAAACAACAACAACATTAATATCAACAAAGACATTAACAGAAAGCAACACAATCAAACAACAATACCAAAAAAACTGAAGTCACATCAACAAAACTTTGAATAAAATTAGTGGCAGGCTGATTTAATGTAGAAAGCATTTAAGTGGGTGCAAGTGCGTGTGTGTATGTGATATGTGCGCACATGTGTGTGTATGTATGTGTATATATGTGTGTTTTTGGCTGAATGTAGGTGGGAATTTATTTCTCTTACAACTATTCAGTCTACCACATAATCACATAAAGTTCCACAATAGCGCGTCAGTTGTGGTAATCGTTTTAATCGTGGAATAGTAGCAGTAGTAGTAGTGGTAGTTGCAGCAGCAGTTGTAATAGCGTTTACTCGTTTTGTGTGTAATTTTATTGTAATTTTGATAAACTTTTTGGTACTGGTAAGGAAGTTAAGTAGCTGTTACTAAAACTGGAATAGCAGGCGTAGCTGTAGTAGTAAAAGGTAGTAAAAGAAGTAGAAGCAGTAGTAATAGAAGTAGTAGCTTGTGTAGTAAAAGAGGCAGTAGTAGCCTCCGTTGTAGTAGTCTAATCATGGAATGCACATTAATCATGCGTACTTTTATGAGTGCGTGTTTATATCCATGTACGGATACCCCTGTATATACGAAGGCGTGTGTGTGTATGGCTGTGTATTGATGATGTCTCTTTAGGTACTGTCCCTTTAGGTATTGTTCCGTACGTGTATTTGGGTGTAGTGTGTTTGTTTGAATGTTTGCACATTATGGTGAATGACTCGATATCACATAATTGTTCTTCGTATTTATTCTTCTTCTTATTAATATTAATATTATTATTAGTAGTAGTAGTTGTTGTTGTTGTTGTTGTTGTAGTAGTAGTAGCAGCAGCAGCGGCATCATCATCAGTATTAGTAGTAGTAGTAGTTATTGTTGTTGTTATAGTACCAGCAGTAGCAGTAGTTGTTGTAGTTGTTATTGTTGTTGTCGCCGTTATTAAAACTATTTTCAGACGAATAATAAAGATTATTATGGATTTATTAATATTTTTTTCGCGTTTGCTTAGTTTTTGGACAAATTTTTTGGACAAGTCTCTTATATTTTAGTGTATGAAACTATATCGTAATTTTCGGATTTATGACGTAGTCATTATTGTTGTTGTTGATGATGTCATTGCCGTTTTTGATGATGTTATTGATGTTGTTATTGTTGTTGTTGTTGCTACTGCTGTTGTAGTTGATGTTGTTGTTGTTGTTGCTATTGATGTTGTCGTTGTTGTTGTTGTTGCTGCTGCTGTTGTCGTTGATGTTGTCGTTGTTGTTGCTATTGATGTTGTTGTTGTTGCTGCTGTTGATGTTATTGTTGTTGTTGTTGCTGCTGTTGATGTTGTTGTTATTCGGTTATTGTTATGAAATTATATTTCAATATGTCGGCACGGCCATTTAGCTTGCGTTATTAATTTTGGTCGGTTGAGATTACATTGCGGCGATCGGGCTTTTGTTTCGGTAGCACTTTATTGCGGCTGTGCTACTCTATCGTTTGATTTTATTTTGTTTGCGAACCATTCATTGCCAAACCTCTATTCATTTTTTTTATTATTCAACATCAAAAAGTTTTAAACTTACTTATGAGGCATACAACTATATAGCCATCATTTAAGAAAACAACCAATAATAATAATAATAATAATACTTTTACACAAAAAATAATGCAAAGTAATAAAAAAACATTAAACATAAAATTTATCACCAAACTACAACAACTCAAATTGACAACACCCAAAATCATGCCAACAAACTTGCGAAAGCAAACAAAAGACGCAACAAACATCAAACCAACAAACAAACCAACACACCAAACCCAACTAAACCAAATACAACACCTTACAACAGAGGAACTCTTACATGAAGCATTCAATTCCTTCGGCACTATCCAAGAGATCAGAGTGTTCAAAGACAAGGGATACGCATTCATAAGGTTTGTTGAGCTACATCACCATCGTCGTCATCACCACTTTGTAATAATCACCACAGTTATCGTCGTCATCATCACATCTTAACCATTACCATCATCATTTTCATCATTTCATCTTAATCATCACCATCATCATCGTCATCGTTGTCATTGTTATATTCAAGTAGATCTTTTTTCATATCAATACATTGCTGATAGTATTATTATTATTAGTAGTAGTAGTAGTAGTAGTAGCAGTAGTAGTAGTAGCAGTAGTAGTAGTAGCAGTAGTAGTAGTAACAGTAGTAGTATAAAAGTTTATAAAATATCATTTTGCCATTGTCCCTTATACTCATCTAAAACATTTGGATGGCACTTACAGATAATTTTCATTAGAGTTTTGTTTGTCCAATTAGTTTTTCGGCGATGATTTCATTTCTACTTACGTCAAGATTATTTTTTCAAATGCCAGACTAATTAAATTAAAACTCCAACTACTGCTACTGCTTCTACTACTACTACTACAGCTACTGCCACTACACAACTACTATTTACTACTATTTACTACTACTACTACTACTACTACTACTTATACTACTACTACTACTACCGCTAATATTAATACTACTACTACTGCTACTAATAATAATAATTATTATACTATTATTATATCTATTATATTATACTAACAATGAATGAATGTAATAATGTGAAAGACGGTTTTTGTCCATTATTTCACAATCGTTCAAATTGCCGTCATTATCACCACATCTCAATTATCATTATCATTATTGTCGTCATCGTCATCTTCGTCATCATCATCGTCGTCATCTTCATCTTCATCATCATCGTCGTCATCATGATCTTCATCATCATCTTCGTCATCATCGTCGTCGTCATCATCATCAGATTTTGTTCCAAGTCAACGGCGGCCCAGGCGATAGTGAGTATGAACGGCGCGGAGATCAACGGCTACACAATAAAATGTTCCTGGGGCAAGGAGACACCGACTTCGAATGCAGACTCGCCCAACTCATCCATCCAAGCCACACTTTCCTTTCTTCCACAAACGGTTACATTAATTTTTAAAGTTTTAATTTTTTTGGGTCGTTTTGTGTTGAAAATATTATTTCAGAGAGTGCACGTATATCAAAATTGGAAACATTATACACGTTTGATGGGAGAGAATCTTTTTGAATTCAAAAACTCTGTCACGATTATCCAAGATTGAAAATTCTATCGTTTCTTAACTTTTTTTTTATCAAAACATGTGACTGACTGCTTAAGGTTTACGTTTCCAAAATATATGCCTGGTTTCAGAAGAGCGTGAAAATATTTTCAATTGAATTAAAAATTTAAATTTAATTAGATTCAATAAATTGAACATTGTTGGCGTTGTCGTTTTTTTTATAGTTCAATCATTTTTTTATTTTTTGGTGTTGAAAAAGTGATATGAAGTGTCAATTTTTTAATTATTCACAAGTTACAAATGCATCAAAATAATATTTTTCTAAAAGTTTCATAAATTTTTTAGTTTTAAAAAAGTCTGAAAATATTTTTAAGATAATTAAAATTTCAAATTTAATTAATTCCAATAAATTAGCAAGTGCTTTCAAATTTTTTCGAATTTTCCTGCATACCAACGACATTAATTTAAAATTTTTCGTTTACAATTCTGGTTTGTTTCTTTTTTACACCTTTTGTTTCTCAGGCTATTGCTGGTGCTGCTTTTGCCAATTTTGTTGTTGTTGTTGATGATGATGTTGTTGTTGTTGTTGTTGTTGTTGGGCTGTTGTTGTTGTGGTTGTGCTGTTGTTGTTGTTTTTTTTGTTGTTGTTTGTGAGGTGTTGTTGTTTGGAGTTGCTCTTCTGTTGAAAATGAGATTCGGTTTAGTGTAGAGCAGTTCATTGCGTTTTAATTTTGCTTTGTTAAGTTTTGATTTAATTTAATGTTACATAATATTTTTAAGTAATTAGCTTTTTCCTCATTTGTTTATAAATCATTGAATTATTTAATTTATTAGAAAACTGTTGCTAGAATGTTTGTTGTTGTTTATTTTAATTCAGAAGATTGTAGATACTGTGGTTGTTTGTTGAATGTTTCTCTTAATTGTATGTTGTTGTTTAAGTTGCTCAATTGTTATTTCCTATTATTTTCTATAATCTTTTATGAATGTTTGTATTTTATCAATTGTTTATATAAAATTTGATTGACGTTGATTGCTTCCTATTATCAATTTTCAAAGTTTTGTTTATAATTTTGTTCTACTTAGTTTTTTTTTAATTTTAAAGATTTATTTACGCTTGAAAAATATTCACGTCTAAAATTGTGAACACTTTTTTCGTGTTTTTATTTACTGACGTGCACTGAAATTCAGTGGAAAATTTCCATTCTCATTAAAATATGTTAGCTGAAAAGTTGTATAAACAAAAAAAAACAAACTTCGGAGGTGAGAAAATTTAAAGTGGACGAAAAATTCTTCATACCAAAAAAATTAATAATCAAATTTTTGTTGCATGAAAAGTAAGCAAATTTCCATTTTTGATCATTTAACTCATTCAAAAGTACAAACACATGTATGAAGGTACAAACACAAGAGTACAAGGAAAGTTTTAAGCTTGCTTTTAACATGCATAACAAAGTGGTAGGATTCTTTAAAATTGTTTTTTAACAAATTAACGTTGTCCAAAATTATTTTTTGTCTTGAGTATCATACAAAATGTATCATTATTGTTATCATTACTGTTATCATCATTAATTCTTCAATTAGATGAAACAAAAATTTTTATTATTCAATTTTTATTGTTATCACTGCATTATTAACAAAATCGTAAGCATCATCATCATCATCGTCGTCAACATCGTAAGCATCGTCATCATTATCATCATCATAATCATCATCATCATCATTATTATCATCATCATCACTATTATCATCATCATCGTCATCATCACCGTCATTCTTTATAACAATACGATTAATCATTAACATCGTCATCATCGTTACTATGGTTACTATCGTCATTGACATCATCAGTGACATCATCATTCAGTACGTTTTATCACTTCATCACTACAGTTAACATAACTCTCATTAAAACATTATTACGTCATCTTCGTCGGTCGATTGCAACAGCTTCTTAACATTACCGTTTTATTGTCTGTAAAAATTATCATCATCTTCATCATCATCGTTTTTGCATCGATATCATCATCATAATCATTAAAAGTACTAACATCATCGTCATTAACATATTATCATCACGATTTATCTTGGTGAACATTTATCGCCATCATAATCATTGTTATCATCATTATCATATTTTCCGTTATCATCATCATTATTTAATTCATCATAAAATTGTTCATTTTGTCATCTTAATCATTATGTCATTATCATTTTCCAAACCTCTATAAACACATAGTCACTACATTATCATTCAAATTCTTTCATCATCATCATAATCGTCATCATCATCATCAACAACATCATCATCATCAACAACATCATCATCATCAACAACATCATCATCAACAACAACGACTACGTCGTCATTATCTCCATTATCACCATCATCATCAACAACAACCACATCATCATCATCTACTTATCATCATCATTATCAACAACATCAACATCATCATCACAACAACAACATCATCATCATCATCTCCATTATCATTAGCATCATTATCAACAACATCATCAACATAATCATTGTATCATCGTACATATTCATCATCGTCATGTCTAATCCTTTCCTGACAAGTGATAATAACGGCAATGAATATAAAATCGAACTCATTCAATAATATTCATTTAAAAAAGTACTGGCGCTAATAAAATCTTAATAAAAGATTTTATATCTCTTGCTCGAGTTTTATGTTTTAGCAGATGATTAATGATTCACAACATTTTTATTTAGAGAGAGAGAGAGAGAGAGAGAGAGAGAGAGAGAGAGAGAGAGAGAGAGAGAGAAGAGAGAGAGAGAGAGAGAGATAGGAAAAGAAAAACCCAAAGCGATAGAGAAAGACAAAGAGAGAAAGAGAGGCAGAGAAAGAGATATGTATACCGTATATATACATAAAAATATTTATTTATTTCTATATATGATTAACACTCTACCGTTATGTGTAACACGTGTTATGTTGTGACGATTGTGATAAAAGAATATGATGATGACGATGATAATGATGATGATGATGATGACGATAATGATGATGGCGATGAGGATTGTGATGATGACGATGATAATTTTGTATCATGACGATGAGGATAAATACAGAGTTAAATACATAGTTGTAGAAAAACTTAGACAATAAAAATTAAAGCGATATTTATAAACACAAAATACGTTCCCAATAATAAAATAACAACCGAACAAACAGACAAACAAACCTGAACAAACAATAACACAAACAAAAAAACAAAAAACTCTACAAACAGGAGCAAACACAAGAGTACAAACCCAAGCAAACACAGCAGTACAAACACAAACAAACACGAACAAATAACAACACAAACAAACAGAGAACTCATCTCAAACATCTCAAACGCAAACAAAGAAACAAACAGCAGACAGCACCCATAAAAGCTGTTTTCCTTCGATCGATTTGATGATCTCTGCAGTATAATTTTTTTCTCTCTTTTTTTATTTTTTACCTACAAAGTAACGATTAACACGTCTCTGCAGAGCATTTTATTGCATTAATATAGCGCACGAGTAACACAACAAAACAGAAATTACCACATACACACGCACACACACCACACACTCACACATATACACACACAACACAAACACACCACAAACGGATATGATTTTTTTATCTTAATGATAAATTCTTCGTTTAGCTTACATACAAAGATCGTGATATTTCAAAAATAAAGATTTGTACATGTAAATAAGCCTATCAATGAGTGTACGTGTATTCGAAAAAATGTACACATGTGTGTTCGTACATTAGGTTGTTTGTGTATCTGTATTAGTGTACGTGAATTGTATACGTTTGCTGCTTGTTAGGTGTGTTGAGTTGATGCAATGTTTGTTGTTTATCTGCAATGTTTTAGCTGTTGTTTATGTCTTAACATGTGCATGTATTTATGTATCTATTGATACATTTGCATGCAATATCTATATTTGCTCTATTCATATAGTTATGTATGTATGTATATATATAAGGACATTATCTCTTCTGTAAAGTATGTGCATGCATATGCTGCTTGTTTATGCTTATAATTGCATTTATCGGCGGGTGATTTGTGTTGATTATTTGTGCAAGTGTATGACCATTTTTCGTATTGTATATTTTTACGTCGCATGTCTCCGTATAAATATTGTATGTTCTGCTGCACATTCACACACACAGGCACGCACACACATAGACAAGCACACAGGCACGCACACACACACACGCACACGTATGTACAAATAGAAACATCATCTGACGCTTGATCACATGTGACATCTTCAACATCACGCTCACCTGTGCGTGCACACATGTTCCATTTGATACATGAACACGTCTGCTCTTAAAAAAACAGCACATATGCGTTTGTATATAATTTTAAAAGTATTCACATTTGTTCATGCAAACACTTACACGTACATATTTGTTTTATACGCAAACATGCACACGAGTTCGTTTATTCGTTCACAAACAGCCTACAAACACATGTTGATTAAATATGGACAGGTAATAAATACATCATTTTCAAATGTTTCTTCAGTTCATCTTGTCAATAGTCCCTGTCCGTTATTGATGTTTTTTATCTATGTACTTTTTTTATCATATCGTATAAACTGTATATATTAATACCGTGTTGTTTTTCAAGGTCAAATAACAGTAAGTTTCGTTATCATTATAGGCAGTGCAGAAGTACATAAACAACTCAAAACTATCCAACGCTAGAAATTAGGTAGATTTCATAAATTACTGTGTATGCATAAATATATGTGTATATATATTTATATAATTATATATACATATACGCACATGTGTGACACATCTATACATGATACATAAAGATATAATATGGGAATAATAAATAAGATGCGTAAAATGTCTGTCCACAAGTATGTCAGTGAAAATATATTTTAAAGTTCATTCAGCCTAAACATTGCATCTTTCTTTTATTGAAACTTTTTTTATTCACTCCTCTGAGCTTGCTGTGTTAGTAACTTGATTTTCTTATGATAATTGATATCATATTAGATATCACATCAGATATCACATCAGATATCACATCAGATACCACATCAGGTATCACACCAGGTATCACATCAGGTATCAAAAAACGCATTTTCCTCTGAAAAAAATACCATTGTTACATAATAATTACTTTTACAAATGCAAAAAATATGCCATTGTTAGCACTGGAAAATAAATTAAACCAGTCTGCAGAAAGGCGCCAAAAAATAAAAATACTCGCGCACATTTTGTTGCATCGATCGATCAATGAGTGGAGTTTAGTTTATCTGCAATTTTTACATCAGCTCCCATCATCGCCTTTGGAAAATTTTATTTTGATAGCAATAAATATTATTTCATTTGTATTAAACACTGAAATATGTACATGTACATTTTGTTATTTAATCGCTTATATTTTTTATTCTTACTTTCATAGCGTTGATGTTAGTTATTGCTATTGTTATGCCAATTGTTTCCCATAAATTGAACGAGTCATGTAGTAAAGCTATATTTTGTTCTTGCGGTAAAATGTTTCATATTACCTGGCAAATGTAATAAAGTCAGCAGTTCATTTATTATTTGTTTGCATGAATTATAAAAATTGTTTTTATGTACATAAACCGACATGCAAAGGGTGGAAATGGCCAAAGCATGTTTACATTTAAATGATTGTCTTCTTTAATGCACATAACTTGTTAAATTTTTAGTCAGACATATTTTTTGGCAATATAATTAACGAAAATATGAGTTTATCTGGCAAAAAAATAAAAAATTCAACGTGAATCGTACTTAATTATAAAAGAAAGCAATGAATAGACGACGGTTCTTGGCGATGCACTTGAAATTAATTGAAAACGTCGGATTGCACCTTCGTAAGTAGGTTCATGAATTGTTCTCTTTCTCGCGTTTATGTTAGTGTAAAACGTGATTGAAGTTATGAAACACAGCTAGAAATAGATTTTTTAAATAAGTTATTGAATGATAATAATAATAATAATGTGCGAAATATTTTTGCTATGTATTTGCACATCCACTAATGTTTCTGCAATGTAAATTAAGAGTGTTTACAATTTTTATAATTGCTGTTGTTGTTGTTTTATATAGTAATTATTATTATTGTTGTTGTTGTTATTTGTTTGCAGTTTGGTTTCTGGCCGCAGAGCTACACCTCACTCCAGCAACATCAACAGCACCAGGTTCAACAGCAACAGCAGCCCTACATACTCCCGCAAACTATCCAGTATGCTGCCTACCCGTGAGTTGTGATGATGATGTGGGTGATGTTGATAATGATGTGGAAGATGACGTGGATGATGATGACGATGATGATGACGATGATGATGACGATGATGATGATGTTGATGAGGAGAAAGAGGAGGAGAAAAAAAAATGATGATGGTGATAACGTGGATGGTAATAATAAAAAGATTATTTAGTTTATTTGCGGATGGTAGAATCACAGATACAAAATTTTATACAATCTTTTGTTGTATTTCATTATTGCCTGTTTGTGTGCATGTATTTGTATGTTTGTTTGTATGTTAGTTTGTATGTTTGTTTGAGTGCTAAATGGAATATTTTTTGTGTGCTTGTATGTTTGTCTTGATGCTTAAACGTGTGTATGTTTGATTGGTTGATTGATTGATTGATAGGCAAAATATGCAGAACAAATCTCGAAACACTTCTTTGTAAAATTATTCTTTGTTGTATGATTAATGTGAAATGAAGTGTTAATTATGTATTGTTTGCTTTCAAGTTCTGACGTGTGTCGTGCGAAAATTTGAGTTGTTTTTAACAATATTTATAAGTTTTAAATTAAAAATATTTATTTGGATACTAAACATTTTGGAAAAAAAATTATGACCACCACTATAACCAACTAAAAATGCAAAAAAAATTTCAAATCGAACATTCACAACCATAAATGGTTTGCTACTCTTCTTCAATTTTTTACCTGCTTGTGTGACTAGGCCAAACTTTAAAAAATATTATATTTGTCTATCTACCAATGTTGGGTTGGGTGTGTCGACAATTGTTTATATACCATAAAAAAAATTATGTTTTGTTATTTTTGAGGTTTTGTATGTGTTTTATGTTTTTAATAAGATGATTTTAAATTGATCTGGATATAAAATGCTAGTTTCTGTTCTCGTTAAAAGTTTTTTTATTAAAAGTCTGCTGAATATGATCATTTATTTCCTTGTAAAAATTATTCCTTTGTTTATGATGGTGCGTTCCATTGCAGTTGAACAATAAGGTGCTGCTGCTGTTGTTGGTGTTGGTGTTTATGTTAATGTTGATGCTGCTAATGTTTATGTTGTTGTTCATATAAATGTTTTTGTTGTTGTTCATATAAATGTTTTTGTTGTTGTTCATATAAATGTTTTTGTTGTTGTTCATATAAATGTTTATGTTGTTGTTCATATATAGAAGCTGGTGACCCGATGATGTTTATGTTTATGTTGATGTTGATGTTCTTTTTTGTCCTGATGTTAATGTTGTTGTTGATGTTTCCAATGTTGTTCTTTCTAATGGTGTTAGTGTAATTGTTGTTATTAATGTTTATGTTATTGTTGTTAATTTAGATGTTGTTTATGACGTCATTTTGTTGTTGATATTTTTAATGTTATCTTGTCACAAGAGTCACTTAGTGCACTGGTTGGTCAGTGTGACTCGCCAACTCATTAATGAGGTCAAGGGTCACAGGCTGGTCGTTGGACTTTTCAATGTTTACGTTCATTCTGTGACCTTGACATTATTATTGCAAGGCCACCAACGTTGGCGTTATAGTACTAAAGCAATCGTATTTTTTCTAATGTCGCTCAAGCGCTCGGATTTTTATATAATTTTTATTAAAGGAAAAACAATTTGTGCATTAACGGCACTGGCTGTTTTTTAATAACTTGATGGCTCTCATGAAAGTTTTTTCATTAAAGTCTCATAAAAAATCTTTGTCGGATTAATCAATTTAGTTATTTTTATTGTAGCTAAGATTTATTTCAAATATGACTAACAAGCTAAGCGTATTTTGACTAATGTTTCTGAACTTAATCTAATTGTTGAAAATAATTTTGCGAAATAAATAATCATTTTCTGAAATTAACGTTAGAGTTATTATTTACTTTGATAAGCAAACATGTTTATGTCTAACTTGTATTTTCGGGTGCAACGTGTTTGTGTGTACTCAACATTGATATCGCAGATACAACTGCAGATACAACTGCAGATACATGAGCAGATACAATTTTATTCAGCTGATACAACGAAGTCCAAGAAAATCTGCATTTTAGTGTTTCATTTTATGAGCAATACGTCGATAAACAATTAAAGCAGCCCATCATGTGTACCATATATTGCACATCAACAGTGAGTAAGAGAGTGAGTAAGCGAGTGAGAGAGTGAGCAAGTGAGTGAGAAAGTGAGTGAGCGTGTGAGTGAGTGAGAGAGAGAGAGAGAAAGTTAGTGAGTGAGCGAGCGAGCGAGCGAGAGAGTGAGCGAATGTGTAATGAGTGAATGTGTAATGAGTGAGTAAGTGAGTGACAGCGCGTGTTCATTACAAAGGTGACGTAAAATGATAATAACAACAAAATAACGATAATGACGATGATAAAAATAAGGAAGATGATGATGGAAACGACGACGAAGAGGATGACAGCGCGGACTTTAATTAACCGCCGCCAAAAACTGGAAATAAATCATGGCACAAACAATATTTTGTGTTTCCGCGTCTGTTTATGTGCGTCTGCGTTTGCGTCTGTGCTTGCGTACTGGGCAACCATCAGAAGCATTATCTCGTTTTGTAAGCGGTTAACGCTGAAAGTAGGATAAGCAAGACTGGCAGCAAGTGGGGCGTTGATGAGTGGATGTCTGATTTCTATGGCATTATCATGATGATAGATCTTTTCTCCCTTCTCTATCATTTTGTTTTTTTTCTTTCTCTCTTTCTTTTCTCTCTCTCTCTCTCTCTCTCTCTCTTTCTCTCTCTCTTTCTCTTTCTGTCTTTCTTTCCCTCTTCCTCTCGTTCTATGTAGCTTGTGGTGTTTCATGGTGTCTGTACTTGTATGTTTCTGCCGTTTGTATATATTTCTTTTGTCTGTTTTTAACGTTTTTATGCGTATCCTAATACGATGTGTTAAACAGAATGAAAAAGGAACAAATAAAGTAAAATAAAATCAAGAAAAAACAAAGAAAAAACAAAAAAAACTAAAAGGTAGGAGGGAAGGTGATTAATGGAATGTTACAATACGATTGATCAAAAGTTTTCAAATCTGATAACTGCCACTGTGATGACTCTCAACTGAAGGCGGTGACGATGACGACGATGATGATTATGACGATGATGGGGATGATGACGATGATGATGAGTATGACGATGATGATGATGACGACGGCTGCAACGTAGCGTAGAAAACAATATAAAAAAATTGAAACATGAAAGATAGATGAAAACCGCTGTCTAAGATATACGGACCCGTCATATTCTCGGACATTCTGGAATATTTTATAGACACCCATGAACATAAAAAAATTTTAGTTTGGTGGAAAAATTGAATAAATTTATGCTCTCTGACATAAAATAAAAACTTAACTGATTATAAGGTTCAGTTTTATGCTTTAATGGTCACGTTTGAAAAATTTGATATCGCGAAGATGTAAGGGAGTACAGTACATATGTGTGTTTTATTCAGAAATAATTTTAAATATTTGATTATCTATTTTTACAATTTGTTTGTTTATGTTTACCAAAACAATTATTTTACTTATTTTTTTATT